ATAGATAAATAGATAGATAGATAGATAGATAGATAGATAGATAGATAGATAGATAGATAGATAGAGATAGATAGATAGATAGATGATAGATAGATAGATAGATAGATCGATAGATAGATAGATAGATAGATCGCTAGCTAGATAGATAGCTAGATCGATAGATATATAGATAGCTAGCTAGATAGATCTCGATAGAGATAGATAATAGATCTATAGATAGCTAGCTAGCTCGATAGCTCGCTAGCTAGCTCGATCTCGCTCGATAGCTCGCGCGCTAGCTCTCTAGCTCGCTCAGCTCGATCGATCGCTCGATCGATCGCTCGCTCGCTCGCTCGCTCGCTCTCTCGCCTAGCTCGCTCGCTCGCTCGATCGCTCGCTCGCTCGCTAGCTCGCTCGCTAGCTCTCGTCTCGATCGCTCGCTAGCTCGCTCGCTCGCTCGCTCGCTCGCTCGCTAGCTCGCGCGCTCGCTCGCTCGAGCTAGCTCGCTCGCTCGCTCGCTCGCTCGATCGCTCCCTCCCTCTGCCTCCCCCCCTCTCCCCTGCCTTTGGTCTGTTCTCGTGGCCCCCCTTCCTCCCTGGTTCCCGCCTTATTTCGTCGTCCCCCTGGATTAGTGTCGTCACTGCGTTCCCTATTTTTTCTTTTGCAGTTGAGGGAAAGCTTCGACTGTGGCAAGGAGACTTCTCTAGAAGACGACAATGTCCGCCACGATGTGGCAACGCTGTTGAAGGAATACTTGAGGGATCTGCCGGATCCTCTTCTATGCAGGGACTTGTATCACGCATTGTACATACTCAAAGTAAGTATGTAAAATGAGATATTCAAGTGTTTGCGTCTGAGAGAGTATTAATTTGTAACATACTTTGGAAGGTTGAGATTGGCGAGCATTTGTTTTTTCTAAAAGAGTCCGCATGGGGTTTTAAAAATATAATAACTATCAAACTATTGTGTGTATCAGTTCACAATACTACTAGGTAAGGATGTTAAACTATCGTAGACAGGGGTGGATCTAGAAAATATTATTGGAGTGGGTCCAACTGACAAATTTAATTTTTTTTTGAAGATTGGGGAGGGGGTGTTGGCTGAAGATTTATGACCAGGAAGATGGCTATCTCGGGGGTATCGGCGATTGAAAATTGAAAAAACATTTAAATTTTTTAACTAGGTTATTTCGGGGGTTCCGAACCTCTAGGACACCCCCTGGTTCCGCCACTAATCGTAGACCACATAAGCTTCAGTACGTATCACTAATACAGGGTGTCCGCAAAGTTGGGGTTTTCCTTTTCAGAAACAACTACCCTTGAAATAACAAAGGTAATGTGTAGTGAAACGAGGGCGACCAAGTAAAAAAAATAAAGGAAAAAGTACTCACTCTCCAGTTGACGAGAAGGGCTAAGTACGTCTCTGCCCGAAATCATACCGCTCCAACAGAAAATGAAATCAGCTGATGCGCTACCGAGCAGACGCCGGCGGTGGTGCAGACCACGAACAGAGGTAACAAATATGACCATCGTGCAAAACCACAATTGATTGTCTTACACTTAATGGCACATCTTCTAACAAGGAAGGCAAAATGTTGCGTAAAAAGTCTAGGTATTGCATCCCGTCCAATCGATTTGGGAGAATAAATGGTCCAATGCGCGTATCGTTCACCATGCCAGCCCAAACATTCACCGAAAAAATGTTTGTTGAACATGTGCCCGACGGACAGCGTGCGGATTTTCTACTGACCAAACATGAGTGTTAAGAAAGTTATTCACCCCATTACGCGTGAACGTAGATTCGTCTGTCATCAATAGCACTTCAAAAAGTCCGGATTATTCTCATGTTGATTGCAACAACCACTCACAAAACCGCACTCTTGCTGGAAAATCGTCAGGTTCAAGGGCTTGTACACGTTGGACGTGAACGGATACAGCCCCTCTTCACGCAGCGTTTGCCACACTTTAGTTTTGATACTTGCACTTCTCTAGCCACGTCTCTAGTGCTTGTTGTTTTTTGAAACGCAATTGATTATACTGGTTCGTTTACCTCTACACGCGTGACCGTAACCGTCGGTTGAAGGTTGGATACTGACCTGACACACTGACCCCGATCCAGTTCTGTCGTCGAGTTGAACTAGTGTCCTAGTACCACTCGGGGATGTCGCGGCTACAGGACGGTATTCAGATATTTTTGATGTTGCAGAGGCCTTTATCTCGGTTCCCTTAAGACATTGGTGTATAGGTACTAAGAAAAATTGCTTATGTTTTCAAGATCCACACGTCGTGTAAAGGAAAACCCTAACTTTGCGGACAGCCTGTATATGAGCTTGTGATGAGTCGCCGAATAAATTTATATGTATTGCCTGTGACCTTGTTCAGTCAAGCATTTTGAAAGACGAATTTATTTTAAGAAGATGCGTTATGTTTTTCCAATTCTGGTATCACCAGATACTGCTTGCTCAAAGTGTATGTCTATTGAAGCATTCCACTTAAATTAAGCAAGAAACGTGACTTCTGGGTTTCCCTAAAATTGTTGAAAAGTTGAGATTCCCTATTTCCTTATTGCACCAATGCCTTAAGCCTCCAGTAAATTGCAATACGTTCCTCTAGACGTTAAGCGATACGATTTTACAACTAATTTGTATTCAGAGAGGATCCTCACCAGCATATTCCCCTTTTGGAGTAACATTTAGGTATTCATATGGGATAAAGGCTGAACAAAACTGGATATATTTTCTGCTAAACTTCAAGAGTCACGAAATGGGGAAGAATATATTGCAACGTACATTCTGCTCTTATAACAAGACCTCCTACATCGGAATTGTGTTTTTCAGAAGCATGAATATCGGAGATATTAAGTAGAACTTAGGGAGTTCTGGCAATCACAAATACCGTATACGAGAACGTTAACGGTAACCTATAATCCATCTACTGCCTATGACTTAAATGTCAATGTTAATTAAAATAATTATTCTTTAGTCTGCATTACGATTTTTGAACTAATTTTGGCTATATCGTGTGCACATTACCTGATTTGAAGAATGGCATAATGAAAAGATTAAAGCCGCTTTTTCACATACGCATTGTACAATCACCAAACATCAATTGCAGGTACAAAAAACAACTATCGCTTGACTACTTTTTTGCAATAACAGACTTTGCTACAAAAATCACTTTATCGATATGATTGAAAAGCTGATCGAGTTTTTTCCTAACTATATACTACGAGAATCTTTGTTAAATTCTCTATTGTAATAGAGCGCTTTTTTCAGTCAGTATATTTATCTATCTGTTTCACTAGGGATACGCAACAGAAGACTGCAATTTGAAGCACTCCAGTACCTAGTACAGCTCCTTCCTCCAGCAAATAGGGACACTCTCTACGCCCTTCTGTGTTTCTTAGCTAACGTAGCTAAGAATTCGGACGACACGAAAGACGAAGAAGGTAAACTATCTATAATCGTTAGGCATTTGGGCTTTAGACATTCTGGCTCGCGGATTTTACAATTACTGACTTAGGCCTGATAATGACAGTTTTGAAGTTGTCATTCTAGGTCGAGATTTAAGCAAACCGATGGTTTAACTCTTCCAGGAAGTAACTAATATGCGACCGTCTTTTCTTCGCCACATCTTGTCCACAAATATATTCTATTGATTATATCGGCATTATGCAACCCACAAAGCGTGCTGGCGGAATGCGAGTTGCAATATACGCCATTCCTCCATTGGTGGCGCTCACAGCAAGTACGCACAGCCTCACGTTCTGCCCTAAGCTTCCGATAAAGGCTGAAAAGTACATCACAGGATGTTTGTTTCTATGACCATCATATAGCGGAAAATCCGAGATTTTTAAAACCGTATTTTGCTTCTGTTTCTAACGTATTGCAGGGTACGTGTATTGGCAAAATGTATTGTTAAAATGACAAATCGACATACTGTTCAGTCTACAAATATATGGGCAATAAGTCAACATGAAGTGTTAGTTAGTGTCTGCCCCGTTAGGTCCAGTGGGTTTCAAATCCGTCCACATTTCGACTGAGTATGTGCTATGCATATCGACAACATGCCAAACGTGTGATGGAGCTCGTGAGATTGATTGGAAACGGGATATCATCGGTTGTGATGGATATGCGATGTCTAATTACTGAAGGGATCTATCAATCCCTGCTAATATTATAAACGCGAAAGTGTGGATGTATGTTTGTATGTTCAGTTTTCACGTCAAAACGGCTGAACTATTTCGATTAATTTCGACGTAGACATAGACTAGACCCTGAAGACGGAAATAGGCTAATTTTAATTGGAAAATAAAACTGTAGCGGTTGAAATAGGAGGTAAAAGTGACCATCATTCTTTAAGTTAGGGAGAAAAATATGGATTTTAATTTTTGGTTCTTTGGAAATTATACTCCTAAGAGTGAAGTGAGGCCTAACATTATTGAAGCTGAAGAGCCTTGAATATTTCAGGAGTATTTTTGTCTATAGTTTTATCATTGAAATAAAGGGCATCACGAAAGAATTGCATCAATATTATAGTTCTGTAGTTGAAAATATTAAGGCTTTTTCCCACTACAACTAACAACCTTGCACTTGTTTGGTATGTAGAGGCAAACTATTGACATCGTACCAAGTCCGCATACTATTCACCTCTATCAGTAAATCAATCAATCATAAACATCCCTTACAGACGAATATATGTTCATGTCGTCAGCAAAACATACTTGAAAACATTTACCAACTTTCACAGAGGTCACTAATGATCAATGGAAATAAAAGTGGTCCCAATTTAGACCCCTGGGGAACACCGGGTAGAGCTGGGTAGGCTTCGGACTTGAGCCCATTATTCGCTACCTCACTGATACATAGGATCTAAACAATTTTAAAGTGCTTACTACGATCCAAGGTGCCCTTCAACGTCAATTTTGTATATATCGTCTACTTCTTCCAGGTAACCCAGTAACCGGCAACAAAATGGACTCCAACAACCTGGCAACGGTGTTCGCGCCGAACATTCTCCATTGCATCAAACCGGGCGCCAAAGAGGGATCTTCAGACCGCCCTGAAGACAGAATCGACATCATTAACATCGTCAGGACGTTGATCGACCATTACAAAGCCATCTTCAACGTTTCTGCTGAGTTGCTGGACGAGGTGTACGTACATATGATGGATTCGCATCCGGAGGTTCTCGATCAGCTGTTGACCAGAAGGACGCGGCGGCAGCCGCTGACGAGTAAGCACTCAACACAAATTTTAATCTCCAAGTACTGCACAGGGCGTTCTCAAAGTTGCGACATTACGCAGCGTATACCGCGTATTCTTAGACTGAAAATAAGTCGATCGTTAGAGGGCGTCGGAAAAAAGTAGGGCCAAGTGTAGAGCCGTGAGGCACACCCATAAGCGTGCTACAAAAGTCCACGCGCGAAACGAGGTTGTCTACTTTGTGACCCTTTCTCACAATCTCACATCATTGCTACAGACTGCAAGGAAAACATTACATTCTATAAATGAAGATCTCTGTTTTGTCACGACGTAACGTTGTAGTAGACATCTCGCCATATTTTCAACAGGAATGCAGTAGGTACATCCACCATATTTTTAACAAGATCATACCAAGCTCATTCACCAGAAATTTAAAAACGATCTATTATTTGCGTTGCACATCCACCTTATTTCCAATACAAAGATAGGAAGTACATCCACCATATTTTCCTCAATATCATGTCGAGCTCATTCACCATAATTTCAAAACGTGCTTACGAATTCGCCATATTTTCAACGTGATCACAACGGACCTCATTCACCATAATTTGAAAAATGAAGGATCTAAGCATTGTATGCCTGGTATACAGGGTATCCCATGATTCCGTGGACATGGAAGTACCACATATATTTAGACTCAGAATAGGTCATTTGGACATGATTTACTTCTATGCTTAAGTGCTTTTAGGCATTTTTGTTACCGATAGTCCGATTCGAATTAAGTTTGGAACACATGTGTTTTCGTTATTTGACTATCACAAATTATCCGAAGGGGTTCTAGAATTATGCTACATAAATTATAGCAGATTTTTTCGCAACTCCCCTGATCTTCTTTAAAATATACATTTGTTTACTCCTTTTTTGTTTCTTATAAAACAGGTAAACTCGCATAGTTTTCGAGAAGAAAATGTTCTTGGAGCTGGTTTCTGAAAGATTTTCCTATTGCATTAAGTGCTAAATTTTTTTGTGACGTATTGTCATGTGCAGGAACGAAAATGGTGGTCATATTCAACCCCCGTTTTGATAGATTCGCAATATTGAATAAAATTGTAATAAGCATTATCATACCTGTTTATTCTCGCTAATTGGGAACCTTCTGATGCAACTCATTTTTTTTCTCGGATACTAGGCGAGATGGCTTGTTCTTATATGATACAATGAACGAAGTAATAAGGAGATCTGCTAAATGATAAAAATCACAGTCATAGGGGAAGTTTTGTTATAATATATGTTGAGGTGGGGGTAATTCTCTCTATCTCTCAAACCTTATAGAGTTTTCCATAAAAGTCAACATTAGTAGTTTAGCAAAACATGTTCCAAATTTCATTCAAATCGGTTTATCCGTTCTTGGAATATCTTAAAGGATGCGTTTTAAAAAGAAATTTTGGCCATCCTCTAACGGACAGACGAAGCACTTTTACATACCTCATGTCCAAGGAATCTTGAATATCTATGATGCAAACCCTGGATGCCTCATTTTTTAAATTAAGGTGGAAGTCCGTCCTATCTTTGCGTTGAAAATATGGTGAATGCGCAACGCAAACAATAGATCGTTTTTAAAATTATGGTGAATGGGCTTGGTATTACCTTGTTAAAAATATTGTGGGTGTACCTCCTTCATTCCTTTTGAAAATATGGCGAATGTGCAAGCGCGCAAATTAGATATCTATTCCAAAATAACGCTGCTGCAATACAGAGATTTCTTCCATTTCTAAAATGAAATATTTTCATTGCAGTTTGAAGCAATGATATAATGAATGCACTCGTGAGAAAAGCATCACAAAGTAGACAATCTCGTTTTGCGCGAGACTTTTGCGACACGCTTACGGGTGTGCCTCAAGGGTCTATACTTGAACTTATTTTTTAAGAAAACTTGACACCATCTAACGGACGTGGTACTTCTATGTTCAGACTGGGACATCCCGTAGACCGTTTAACAATAAGCAGATCTTTTTAGTAAAGGCTGGCATACACATGTATCGTAAGTTTTGATTGCCAAGCAAGTTGTTATGCAAGACTAAAGCACTAAAGGTGTCACGTTTGTACAATTGATGATATAAGTAGATTGACAGCCAACTTGCATGCTTGTAAAATTCGGTTACTTTACTAGTGACGTGACTTACACGTTCCAACGGTAAATCCCTGGAGTAAAAAGCTAGTGTCTGAGAGATCTCCAAGCTATTCTGTATTTGTCTTCACTTCAGATCTTTGGATGAGCTAGAGAGTGAAACAAGCTCAGCACCTTGGAGTCCAGTATCGCTGACATTTGACACCCAATTAGGGAATGCAACTTGGAAGACAACAAGCTGACTGAGCAGAAGAAAACTTATTCCAGGGAAGAGTTCCTTCACGAAGCTACTGCGACTGGTCCTAGGATGAGGATGAGGTACGTCCTGACAAATCCTCTTACAGTGTAAAGACCCATTTGTAACCTTTTCTTTCTCATCTTCTTTAAATTCTCTGTCCTTTCTATTTACCTTCCATATTCTTTCAGCCAAAGCGTCAATCGTACATCTACAGGCACATGTCAGAATAGTACCTTTTTACTGCCCTTTGAATATTTTCTGTCTAAGCTATTTTTTCTCTAATGCTTTCCCAGATATCTTGGCAATGTACTTGAAGGGTGTTTCACATAATTTTTCCCCCTTCCAGGCATAGAGACAGGATAAAGGAACGAAGCGCCAGGAGGAAGGAAAAACAAGAAGACAGCCCCCTGACATCTTCTGCCATGACAATCATATCCTTGTTCCGAGGCCAGAAAGATGATCACCATAGCAAAAACAGGTCTTCGTCTCTGGAAAGCAGTTGCTCCGCACATACGGACTCTGACATCACCCAAATCCGACCCTGTGATGTGAAAGAGAGACGGGGATCTTACACAGCAGACAACATTGTCAAAGCCAGTCTCACCATACCAGTCATCCACAGGTTAGTTCTTTGAGAAGAAAGTTGTTACAGACGTTCTCTGGAGAAAAGTTATATGAATAGTATGGATACACAGAGTGTTCTATGGAAATTGCGTACTCTTATAACAAATATCGTTTATTTTTTGCAGGTTGCTTCTTACACAGTCGACAACGAAGACATTCCTTACATCGAGGACGATACTGTGAAGCAAGCTCCTGCGGTACCACCGAGACGTACAAGGAACTACTCGACAGGCAGCGAATCTTCGATAGCCTCCATCCAGCCTATCACAGGCTCTATCTCTTTGATCCACGGGTACGACTCGGCCATTGGCTCGTCTACAGCGTGTTCGAGTTCAATCCAGAACACTCCTTCGTCGATATCAAGCGTCGTGGATACCGGAGGCATACATAGCCCACATCGTGGGCTTGTAGTCCACCTACATCTCCTGACAGTACTACCACTACCGCAAACTATATTCCTGATGAGTCACATGCTCAAAGAGGGATATCCAAGGCGCCAAGAGATAGCACCTCCACCAGTGCAGGTTACGTAACCGATGAGTCGCACGCCCAAAGAGGTCTAAGCAAGACCACCACTTCTGATGAAGCACATGTACAAAGAGGTATGTCCAGGGCTTCAAGGGATGGTACCACCACGTCTGATGAAGCGCATGTCCAAAGAGGTATGTCTAGGGCTTCAAGGGATGGTACCACTAAGTCTGATGAAGCGCACGTCCAAAAAGGTGTATCCAGGGCTCCCAGAGTGAGCAATATCGCGAGCGAAGCATCTTCAGTGCTTCAGAGGATCCAGACGAGCTCGAGCGATTCTGGATACAAGAAGACCCACATGGGTTTCCCGATGCCGGAAAGGGAGCCCAGAATCAACACTAGCATAAGCAGTATTGGAAGTGCTGTGATGAAATCCAGGACGGCAGATTTCGAGAAGATCTCCAAGACGGATCCTGGGAAACCGAAGGCTGCGCCTGCTGGTACCTCGTCCACGAGTACTTCGAGTGATAGGGACAAGAAGAAGTACGTGAAGCGACGGTACACGGATTCCAGGCATCAGACGACCCATATTCCAGATTCGGAATATCTTGAATCGACGACTGCTCAGTGCAAAGGCCCGGAAAAAGTTGGTAACGCACAAGCTGGTCCAGTATACAAGCGAAGAGAACTGATTTCAAGTGTGCCGACCAAATGAGCGGACCTGGTTATAGTACAGTGAAATTGGATAAATTACGGTGTGTCAATATAACTTCGTTGAAGTTTTGTTTCTAGTCTTACTGGACTATGATGTAGTATCATGCGCGAAAAATGTATATACACATATCGATCTTATATTTTATATAAATAATCGTACGTTTTTTTATGTGTTCAGAATCAATAACGGCGACGAAGCCATATGAAGTGTGTAAAATATTGTATAAATAAAATGTACACTCAGTTATTTTTATTTCTTTTCCAATAGCCAAATAGAAATCCGAAAAACGAAGTGCAGTTTTTATTTACACGTTGTATTGATTTTTTTACTGCCTAAATGCAGCTCTAGCTACGCATTGCACGTACCGGTAAATCCTTAAAATATTTATTTGGACACGCGTCCTGTTTTCGCGGATTTTTTATTTCATGGAGCTACGTGAAATAAAATCCTTTCAAACAAGTACAAGTTACGGTTATTATGTGCTGAACAGAGTTCGAAATAATCGGATTAAGCAGCAGCAAAAACATAAATGAAGATCTCTGTTTTGTCACGACGTACGTTGTAGTAGACATTTCGCCATATTTTCAACAGGAATGCAGTAGGTACATCCACCTTTATTTTTAGCAAGATCATACCAAGCCCATTCACCTGAAATTTAAAATCCACCTTATTTCCAACACAAATATAGGAAGTACATCCACCATATTTTCAACAATATAATGTCGAGCTCATTCACCATAATTTCAAAACACACGTACGAATTCACCATATTTTCAACGGACTCATTCACCATAATTTGAAAAATGAAGGGTCTAGACATTGTATGTCTGATATACAGGGTATCCCATCATTCCGTGGACATGGAAGTACCACATATATTTAGACTCAGAATAGGTCGTTGGACATGATTTACTTCTATGCTTAAGTGCTTTTAGACATTTTTGTTACCGATAGTCCGATTCGAATTAAGTTTGGAACACACGTGTTTCGTTATTTGACTATCACAAATTATCCGGGTACAAGTTACGGTTATTATGTGCTGAACAGAGTTCGAAATAATCGGATTAAGCAGCAGCAAAAAACGAGCAAAGTCCGTCGGCATACCAGTAGATGTTGGTTACCGAAATGAGAGGGCGTGAGTAAGAGAAACCCAAAGTTTCTTTGTTTACTGTTATTATCACAAGATATGTCACATGATAAATTACAAACCACTATAAGATAAATTTTCATAAAATAATCATATTAACATAATATAAAAAATATCAATATATACTTCTGATTATTTACACAAATAAATGTAACAATAGATGCCTAATTTTAATACTCGAAATTCACATAACGTAACACAATAATTTGATTAATGGCATACGTATTTCTAGTTCTTCAAACATAAAATTTTGAAGAACTAGAATATCGTCCACGTCACCAACAAAAAAAAAGTATCATGATTTTTAGGCCCCGTGTCATGGATTTTATTTTCAAAAAGGCACTCTTTAGAGGTATTAATTGGATATTTTTTTTCGAAAAAATACCGTTCACCGTTAAGGTATGGTTACGTATTCAAACGCAGAGAAAATTACGTATAAAATAAGAGTTGAATGAAACTTTGTACTCTAAATAATATTGATATTACGTACCTCTGCAGTTCAAAAACTTTAAATAAAAAAAGTATTTACAATTTTGCTTTTGTTGTACAAAATCAATAAAACAAAATTTTCTTACCGCTATTGGACGGAAATAAGTAAGCTTTAAGTAATGTATTTGTTGCAGAACCATATAATAAAAATTCCGACGAATATAATACAATTTTAAACATATAATATCATACAACATACAGGGTGTTTATTTGAAAACCTCCCACCACGGATTCATCAAAAACCACTGATTAAATGAGAAAACGCCGAAACACGTTAAAAGATTTGTCAAGGGTGACTTTTTAACCAAAAACTACTTCACCCCCTTCCACCCTCCAGGGCCATTCTCTTGAAAATTTTAAATGACAAGAGGCGTCGAGTAATAGTTTGACGTTTTATTTTTTAAAATCGGTCTATTCGTTTTCGAGAAAATTAGATCTTTATTTATGTTAATTAACTAAACACACGAAAACATCACTTTTTTGTGTCGAATTGTAGATGTGGCAAAACGCTAAACGGGCAACATTTTGAACACTAGTTGAAATAAAAAGTGATATTTTCGTGTGTTTTTGTTTTTCTATCTAAACAATTTTCTTCAAAACGAATCAACCGATTTTAAAAAACTAAACATAAAAATAAAGAACTTTGAAAGACCTTTCAAACAAGCTACTACTCGATTTCATTGTCTTTTAAAATTTTCAATGGGACGACCCTGGGGGGCAGAGTGTGAAATGGGGTTTTTTCTTTTAATCAGTGGTTTTCGATGATTCCGTGGTGGGAGGTTTTCAAATGAACAACCTGTATATAAAAATGCAAAGCTCATAGAATAATGTATAAGTTGGAAAATAGCTACCAGAGCCAATAATTAGAAAAGTACACGAACACCAAACAGCTTGACAACCAATCATTTTCTGAAAAAAAGTAATTTATCGATGATCCCAGGCGTGTCCTAGATAAATAAAAAAAATTGCTATATAAATGTGCTATTTAAATTTCCAAACTTTACCACAAGAAACCTCTTGAGGTTAATATCTAGGTCATCTTTGTGATTAACGATAATTTCCTTTTTTTTAAGTCTGAAACATTTTTTTGGAGCCTTTTATAAAAAATATAAGCGACTGCCGAGTATTTGGGACATTCGATAGACTTGTATATTATTCTGTAAGCTTGGCGTGTTAGAGGGTGTGACAATCTCAGTACCACTTGAAAACATTTACAAAGTGTTGCACCTCCTCACCGATACAGTCGATAAGTGATGCTTTTGAAACGCGATTATATTATATAATAAATTCGTTATTTTCATGTATAAAGAATTTGTAATATTCAGGGTGTAACTTGTAATCACAAGAGCACATTCATAAGCCGAATTCCAGTAGAAAAGTTCATAGGTATAAACATGTGTCTTAAAAAGCTTCGTTTCTAGGGTGTTAAAGAAGATTGTATTTTGTCAGAAAAAAAAAACAATAGCAAACTGTCACTGTCACATGTATTGGATTATATTATTTTTGAAATCAAGTGCGATACGGAGCGGAACCAAGAGACAAAAATACATAAGTAGCAAATCTGTACCTCAAAAGGAGTATTTGCATTAATTGAATCGAAACTTTTGAACGGAAGGGATTAAAGGGATAGAAAAAAACGCGTTCCAAATCTCGGATGTCTGGGCTTTCTGATGGAAAAATCGTTAGGTCCGTAGCTCCGTTATCTTCGGAGGAGATAGAAAACAGATATCGAACAGCACGCTTGAGACACGAAAAAGGACAATCGTCCTACGTTTGAAAAATTTTTAATCAAAACGGGTTGCCCTAAACGCATAAAACTGTTTCTTGGTAATTTATAGTATGCATCGACATGTACAAAATGGGCTACGTGAAATTTCATTTCTCTTTGTCGTAGAGAAGTTATCGACTTTTTGCCGAAAATTAGTCATTTTTCAGGTTTTTTTCTTTGAAAATTTCTAATTAAAAAAACTAAGGTGCGGATCAAAGCGGACCTGGAAAAGACGAAAGGCCCATCATTTGGCCACCTAATGCGACTGATCCCGAGTCGATATGTCGAGAAATGACAGAACGACGGCGCAAATCGTTCAGGCGATACGCGAAGATTTACAGTTTTTATCTTCGGTTCGCACTCGCTCTTAAAGCGCCGAGTAACGAAATTAAAAATGTTAGTATGATATTAAATAATCACTTTATGAATACTCAAATGAATAGTGAATAGACAGGATATAAAATTAAACAAAATCGATTAAAAAAAATGTGTATACGAAAATTATACAAAATTGACATTGTAGCATTGATGCTAAATAAGTCTTCAACAAACAAACAGAAAAGATAAAAAACTATGGCGTGGCGTGTACAAGGATCTTTAAAATATCAGAAAGAACCATTTTTTTAGACTTCAACCTGTTCCTGTAAAAAAAGACTTTTATGATACACGAGCTTCTCTAAACTGTCAGCACAATTTTACAAGTCATCCCAATTGTCAAAATGGCGTAGTTACGGAAGAAGTTCAGACTCCTCGCAAATTTTTCTGTGTATATTCGGATCAGTAATTCCGTTGACAAAAAAAAATGGTGTATGTAATCAAAATAGGTACTCGCGGACAATATTTTGAGTATTTAAAAGGCCAAATTTACTTATTTGCTTTCAGTTTTGTCCTTGTCTACGACAAGATCCAAGACCTATACCGCACTGATGAGTTGTAGATGAGCACAAAACAGCGGTGGCTGCAATTCAATTTCAACCAAAATGGTCTGCATTGTTGCTGTTGAAATTATCCGTACTGAATATGTTTGCTTATTTTTCATCAACAAACTATACCCTATGCACGGTATCAAGCCACACCCATTTATTATTTCCATTTTACAACATGCACACACAGAGTATACGTTTATATTCCGCTCAAGGTCACATAATTACGGAATTAAAGACACTAATTAATGCTGAATTCATCTCGTTCAATGACGCTTCCTTACATACAATATAACAATAGTCCGGTTAAATTTGTGTCACTTCAATTCATATCCCAAATGATTGCTTGAAACTGTATATAGACTACTGTTATTCCAAGAGCCAGCAAAATTTAATCTCAATTTTTTTATTATATATCCTTTAATTTCTTTGGGTAGAAGGCAAGTATTGCAAAAGTACACTCTTATAACTTAAAGTCTCAAACTTTCGAAGATATATGCCTTCATCGTCTGTTATTTGTTGCTATTGTCAATAATTGTTTCCAGCTCCAGACGATGAAGACACAGATCTTCGAAAGCTTGAGAGTTTAAGTTATAAGAGTGTACTTTTGCAATACTTTGCCTTCCACCCAAAGAATTAAAGGATATCTTCTCCTAACAGTTAAGGCAATTACTAACTCACTGAGGACTCTTTATACTTCATTAGTCTCTAACTTTCAATGGACTTTGCCATCATCATCAGGAGCTGCAATGACACTATTGTGCAAAATGATTTAAATTACTTACAATAGTATGTGAGATTGTTGCTCAATGTTATTAACGGTCAGGTTGAGGGAAACATTTAGTAGCCTGGTGAAGGGTGAATACATGGTACATTCGTTAAAACTAGTATAAAATACGAATCTACATGTATCCAGCTTTCACCAGGTTACTAAATGTTTCCCTCAACATATCCTTTAATAACATTCAGCCACGATTTCACATACTATTGTAAGTAATTTAAAATCATTTTGCACAATAATTGATATTTCTTCTCAATGTTATTGTAGCTCCTGATGATGATGGCAAAGTCCACTGAAAGCTAGAGACCTAATAAAGTATAAAGAGTCCTTATTGCTTGAATTTTGTCGAAGTATCCAACTGAAGGTGGAAGCTTTATTTTTCACCTAACTGGTCTAGATGAAAATGACCACGACTCAAGTTATGTTATATATATATATTTTTTTTTTGGACGGAAAAGGCTGCAGTCGATAGACCTTGCAGTACAGGATACGTGTTTCCTTGAGTTGCCAGCCCTTGTTGCATGTTCACACTGATTTCCTAATTTGACTGGACATTACATTGGAATATTTGGAATGCAACTCAAATACAGTCCTGTTTTAACAGGAGAAATAGTACTTGTTCAGGTCCCGAATATCCGATATCTTATATCAAAAACAATATATCAGCATACAATAGCAGTACATAAATAATACTATGTATCAGCTGGCTCAGCAAAGTATACAGAGCAGAAGTAGTAAGTTCACTCAGCGATTAGCGGTTGTCTTTAATCTGTCCATACGTCTGTTTCCCGGTTTCGAGGAAGCTAGGGTACGTCAGTACGAGCAATAAAATGTACGGAAAAAACATTTTGTTTTTGAGTGAATTTACTTTTTATAGTCTGTATACCTTTGGCGTAAGTTATAATAAATAAAATTTATGGACGGTATCAGTTTCAGTAGTAAATGCTCTGGTCGCTATAAACATATCTTTTAGTACGTATATTTGTCAACCTCACTTTTAACTATTGACAACTAGAACCCTACACATTCTCACTTTAGCCTTGGTTATAAATAATCAGGCATTTTATGGTTCACATAATATCTACATATGGTACAGGACGGAATGTTTAATATTTATCAATCTCATTTTACAAATTCGAGTTGATTTTTGACAAGCTTAAGGTAAGCTTCAGAAGCTCAATAATAGACACACCTTACCAGCAACCTTATGGAAATGCATAAAGATTATTTCCAACAAAAAGTTTCTGAATACCGCGGGTTCGCCTGAACAGGCAACTTTACAGATCTTCTATATGTTTAGGCCTCTTGCAGTTCGTCACCGCTAGTCCTTCCAGTCTCCTGGTCCAATTTTCTGTAGACTGGACTTCAACGGAGACCTCCTTGTTCCTGACTGTCTCATTCTGAACTGAGTTATGGTAACTCACCCCGATTAAAAATGCGACGTCTGATTGTACGGAAGAAGCATAAGAACCAAGGTTCCTTCTTCATACTCCACTATTCGCCATACTTGATAAGGTTCCGAGAACTCTAACCGCCAGTAGTTCCCACACGCGGTTCTTTCTCTCCCAGACTATACCTCAACGGGAACCTTGTGGCAGATAAGTTGTCACAAGATGACGAAGTGTCGATGGAGCTACCAGAGCTTCTAGTCAGGGGGACCACTTCAGAACCAATTCCCACTGAACACTGCACCTCTGTGTTCTTCACCTGTATCTGTACCTTCTCCAATACATGCAGTTCTTCTTTCTTTTTGATAGGCGAGAACCCCAGAGCTCCGCGTACACAATCCTCCAGAAGGTCCCTCAAAACCATCTCCTCTTGAGTCCGTCGGTCTTTTTTTTTTGGTGCCTGCATCGCCTTACATCGACAAGCCGTTGGTGATGCTGTCAAAAACTAATTGTTAGTAAGTGATGGTGGAACCCGTGTGGTGGAACTGTCACGAACATCTTGCTGAAAAGACCGCTTTAGAACCAAATTCCCGCTGAGCACTGTATCCTTCTTCTATACATGTACTTCTACTTTCTTTTAGTAGGCGAGAACCCAGGGTTCTATGACCCCAACCCATCTGAAGACCCCCCAACACTAGACCTCGCGCGACCCTAAGCTAGATCTCAACGAATCATCGTGGTCCTGCACCGCCTAACACTGAAAAGTCGTCAGAAACTAGTTGTTAGAAAGAATCGATAAAAAAAATCCCTAAACCTCGGTGCTCTGCGTCTGTATCCGCACTTTCTTCATGCTACCGTTCCTACCCATAGTGGGCGATGTACCGGAGAACCCGGGGTTTGTATCCCCAACCCGCCAGCAGCTCCACCAGCACTGGTTCCTCCCGCGTCCTCTCGGTCTGGGTTTCTTCAAACTGGACCTCAACGGCGACCTCGTGGTTCCAGCGCTTCCCCATGCCGACGAACCATTGGTGGAACCCACTGTGGTGGATATGGTCGCCATGGATCCCATGCTGCCGTTTGAAGCGTACGGCTTGCCGCTGGCGTCTGTCATTGAGACTCCCCCGGTACCTGAAAATATAACACAATGTTGCTTTGCCATATTGACACTGTTTAAGGTGGGTGGACCATGAAAGGATAGTAAATAACATCCATCGATTGCAAAGAGAGGATCCCGTCCTTTTGAGCAGGGGTGACCTGATCACCCTAAGTATCGATGATAACCGCAAGCTTAATCTGGACTATGCGGCGACAATGGAGTGGAATTCAGGAAGAAGAAAGTGAGCAAGTCTGGTACACGGACTGCTCGGTTACTGAAGAGTGCCGGGGTCTTTGGGCGTTCTCTGCTTCTCGGCGGATTCACCGCTATCGTCCAGGCGTGATTCTATGCGATTCTGGATTGCTTATCCACATTCTGGAAGGGGAAGGGCACAGGAATAGAATAACAATCTTCTCGGACAGCCAGGCTGCGATGAGGCAAGATTACCTCGAGCCTTGTATTGCAAAGCGGGGAGGCTCTGGATTGTTTTGCAGCGAGGCATACGGTGTCGTTAGTGTGGGTGCGGTAATGATATGGCGGGCGTCCTCGCGAAAGCAGGATCATCGGGCAAGCTCGTGGTCCTGAACCAGCGCTAGGGGTGCCCACGCAAAAGTCAGGAGGATAATGGAGAAAGTATCTCTAGACATCTCCGACAGGCACAGGTACTCATCGTGGGGCCCAGCGTTAATGATGGACGCTTTTTCTTGTCGTTGTGCGAGCACTGCAAGGATGAGGAAGATTCCTCGGCGGATGTTCTATGTCGCTGTGAATTTCTGAGCTGCTACAGGAAAACTATATTGGGGTCCATCACTTTGGACCTCCAGAACGTTAAGGAACTGGAAATCAAGACCATACTCCGGGACCTCGGTTGGCCGCGTGGGTCAGAGTGTCGTGCTACTGATCAGCCGGCCGGCCGGGCCGCGAGTTCGAATCTCGTCTTCGCCATGGATGTTGTGATTGTCCGTAGGTGGTAGATGGTCTCTGACTGTCGAACGCGGAGGTACCACCCGGCGGTTCTCGTAGGCGCAGCCAGAATGTGTGCATGTTGCATGCACACGTGTTCCCTCGCCAGAGTCCGTGTGGCGTCCCCCCTTTCCCATGTATCCCCCTATAGCCCCACGGTACCCAATGGGTGCTTAGGTCTTAGGCCTTCGTGGTAGTTGGAGTATAAAAAAAAAATACTCAACTTTGCTAGAAGGGCGGTGCTTGAAGCTTAGGAAGTGTAATGATGCGTCAGGGCCCGATATGCGGCCTAAGCCCGGTTCCTCGTGATGCCTGACTAAAGAGAGAGACCTTCGCGTCGTTATGTTGTCAATACGGTCCTTCGCTTTGTGGGCTGCGGTCGTCGACGTTAAAAATATAATATGAGCTAGCAGCAAAACTTGAGTTGTCAAGGACATGAGATATTTTTTTACTATGATTTGACATGAGAGTGTTTGCTTTGGTACTGAGTAAAACAGATATTTGTTGCCTTGTTGGGGTGCTAAGGCCTTATAAGTAACATCTAGGGAACACGTCTTTAGATCTGATATATTTTACCATCTCAATATTTACTGATTTGTAGATTTTGAACGCAACCTTCAACATTTTGGCATTACAAGAAACAGACCCATAAGAACGATATTCTGGTTGGTTTAATCTATTTTATCAATCCATTGTAAAGGTGTCAACTTATTTGGTATCATACAACTCATTATAATTATTTTAAAAACATTATTAAGAATACTTCCTTGGTTTCACGACAAGTAATGTTCGCCGAGTATTTTATTATTGTTAGAATTTGATGTTACTTTTTACTGATATACCCTTGTTCCTTGCAAGGTCATTCAGAAGAGTTCAATATCTGTCCATACATACTTTCTGGAGGTGGTATTTTTAAGGATACTTTAGCTCAATACTGCTTCGACGAGATCGCCTTTTAACTTATCTCAGACCACCCTGTATACGAGCTTTCGGAGTCGCCTTATTCCACGAAGTACCACCGCTTCGTTACCTTTACAGTTAGAAAAAATAAAGTCGTTACCGTTACGTCTTTCTGTCGACGACGGACGTTACTTTTACTCTCCACTGGCTAACGAATTAATCATGCAACATTTAAGAGCAACCAACAACTCTTGAACCGCTCATTACCGTTAGATGCCCGGTTCGAAACTGTGTGCATCTCTGGTAACGATCTGGTGGATATTTTATACTAATTAGGCCTTCATCTTGAATGCATAGGCCAAAAGGAAACGCCAGAACGTATGATTAAAATAATACAGGGTGTTTCAGTTTATTGTTGCATAACTTTAAGATTCGATAGAACTTTTAAAATTAATGCATAAAGTCTATATAAACATGGTCGAAAAATGCGTGGCTTCCGAAATACAGGGTGCTTAAATTTACTTTCTAAAATAGTTTTTTTAAATATTTCGAACAATATTTGATGTATAACAGCGAAAATTGGTATACAAGGGTTTTTTGGTACGACAAAACGAACCATGGGCATAGTTTTACTGTAGCCGCTAGAGGGCGCTTTCTACTGTACCTGTGGTGTATTAAAATGACCGAAAAATTTTTTTTGGTGCAATTTTTTGCTTTTTGAATAAAAATACTGATTCTTCGCACTCTTCAACATAAAAAAGCTCTCTTGTGAGTTTTCGTTATAGTTAGCCGTTTTTGAGATATTTCGGTTTTTAAGGTTCGATGCATTTTTAATTATTTATGGGAAAATAATATTTTTTTTTACATTTTCGATTTGGGCATTACAAGTAATTAAGATGATCGTTTAGATTGTGTTTTTAAACACAGCAATAGTTTCTAACTCCAAATAAACACAAAAAAACAGAATATTAATTTGTTTAGAAAGTTAATTTAAACACCCTGTATTTCGGAAGCCACGCATTTTTCGACCCATGTTTATATAGACTTTATGCATTAATTTTAAAAGTTCTATCGAATCTTAAAGTTATGCAACAATAAACTGAAACACCCTGTATAAGAGGTTTTAATATTTTTGTAGATTTCCAAGTTGTTTGGGAGTTTTGGTTGGAAAAAGGAGTTTCGTTCTTCAACGAGTGACAAAATGTAACATTTGCCTTGAAAAACGTAAAAGTATATGATGTAAGTTTTTTGCTGAAATCACTGGGAGGCTCTATATTCCTACTTCAAATAAAAACACCACCTTTATTATTATTTTGATCGATTTTGAGCAGTACATTTTCTCTCGTTCTCTTTGCTTTTGTGAATGATGAAAAAGTATCTCTGTTGCCACCAAAACGGAAATTAGAAAGAACTCCGTATAAATAGGGACTGTTGATGAACATCCTGCTGAAAAAAGAACTCGACACGCTAAGCACCGGACAGCTTCAGACTTCCAAATAACAGAAAACCAAAGAGTGAACGTTTGTATCCCATTCTAGCGTACTTCGAAATTTCATTAAGTATTTAGTACTCTATTGGGAGCCCTGAGTAGCGGCGCAGCGTATCTCTATGGCACTTGGCGAGTTTTATATTTTTTGCAACCACAAGACTCGTGAAAAACTTCTTTCTCGTTTCCCTCAGCGGTCACCAATCTTTGTTTTTCTGTCTCCAAAAACTACCCAGATAATTTAATTTGGCGAACGCCGAGAAAAGTTAAGATTGCGCTAAAATGAGATGGTTTTCAAGAATAAAAAAAAACAAAAGGAATTTATGAAGAGAACAAACAACATGAGCAAGTAAATGTAAATTAAAAACAGTACCAATAGGACAAATTGGCTGTACACAATTTTAAGTTGTAACTGTGGAACACAAATTGCAGAAAAGGGCAAAAGTTAGACACAGTAGATTATGAATTTCAATTCTAGATGTAGAATGTACTTGAAAAAAAAATTAAATAATCTCAGAAATGTAAATCTTTTAAATCTTTCGGAATAATTTTGGCGCTAAATATTTTTTACCTTGTATAATAATCATAATTTCAATTTCTGCCAAATCAACAATGCTTCTTTTTTCCACTGATATTTATTCTACAAGATGGCCTCGTGCCATTGAACCAGAATGTTCATTGCCAGCAAACAAGAGCATAAAAAGGTTGACTCAAATATGATGCATATACAAAGTCGATTTGTTCACAATTACAGAGTCGACCTACTCGACGTCATTTTTAAATATGAAACAGGTTAGTCTTACCGTTTGTCCTGGGGTCCCTGTATCCAGGATTTCCATACGTTGCTCCAACCACAGGAACGGAGACAGTGGTCGGATCTCCTCCTTCCCTTCTCGCGAAGAACATGTCATACAAAGACATCACGAACAGCGCGGCGTTTAAAACTATCAATAAAATCTGGAAAAAAGAATAAAATCGTAGTACGGGAGCGGCGCGATCGTGAAGCAGCCACAGTTATCAC